TACAGAATTAATATTTTTAAAAATTATTGAAATTTTTGCATTCCATAAGAAAGCGGTTCGTCAATTCCCTGTTTTAAATTTGAGAATTGAGAAATGATTGCATTTAATTTAATGCGAATGAATGCCGTGAATAAGTGGAATAAACCGAGTATTGTAAGTTGTAAAGAAAGAATATTATTTTCCAGACGTTCATATTTTTACAAACATTTGCTCATTGCTTATAATTATTTTACTTGAAACAACATAATTTTGTTCTGTATAGTGAAACAGTTACTTTTATAAATTAGAAATTAAATAATAAAAAGGATTTACTTTACATTTACATTTTATTATACTGATTTTAACGAATTTTAGAGTTAACCATTGTTTGTAAAATGTATTAAAATGACCATACTGTATTTAAAATAATAATACATTTATGCATTAAGTTCATTAAAGTCAGTATACCTGTATTGAAATAATATTGTTTTATCGTTCCTTTTAAATAAATTAAAAAAAAAAAATAATTAAATAAATTATAATCTTATTGACTTCTTAAATTTGATATAACTTGCAATATTTTTCAACTTATTTTATTTATATAATACGAATCTGTAATTTGGATCATATCACTTCCCTCGTGAGACGTCTCACAATCTTCAGTAAATAATTTGTAAATACTAAATTGTCGGCAGAGTTTTAATTAACATGATTGTTGCATCAAATAAATTTTAGGGTGCATTTGTCTACTGTAATAATACATTTATACCTACTTGTAGTATATTTATTTTCAAAATAAATATATTATACATAAGAATGAAAAATTCATTGTTGCTAAACTTTTTTTTTTTTTTATTAAATAGTAGGTATTACAAATTCGTTGGATAAGTTGAGTATCAAATTGTATTGAAATTCAATAGATCGCTCCATTTGATTTCCTCTGTTTATCTATTTCTTCAATCTTTTTTTTCAATTTTTTTTTTTGTAATACAATAAATTTTTTCTTTTCCCCACATGAGGATCTGATCAGTGTCAAACGTTTCCTTCAAAACTTGATTTATTCTTTCACAGTTTGAAGGCTTCTTTTTTTTTTTTTTTGATTCTATAGTTACATTATGCAGCTTCTCACAAAAGATTTTGCAGAGCAGTGGCGGAGAATAGACGATAATTCATGAATATATATTTTTACGTTCTATCTGTATATTCCTTTATAAACATTCATCGTCATACTTTATTTGTTATTTTCTAAGATAAATAAAAAAAATTAATAAAGCGTATCTGAGGTAAAGATGTTTTGTGACAAGAGCTTACATACATACGAGTACACGATAAATCGTGGACAACATTATTGTTACTGTAACATTAAATAACTTTTAAATCGATTCGACTAACTATGATGAAGTATGTTTGAATTGTCAATGAATTTTAAAAAATTCGAGTTATGCGTATTTCTAAATGCTAATAATCATTATTTAAACCATCAGTTCTTTAATTTTCTGTTAAATCATTGATCAAACGAGAGAATTACAAAAGATGCATTTTATCATAAAAATTGTATTAATTTTAATAAGCATACAAAACTTCTTTTTATTAAAATATAACTCTTTCTTAGGGTTACCAAGTAGCTTATTTAGAAAGTTATTAATAAAATTAGTTTATTATTATTATTTTTTTCGTTATTTTGTAAAAACAAAATAATTCTATAAGCAAAAATTTAATGACTAACTCTATTAAGGCATGTTCGTATTTACATACTTATATGTATTTTTTGAATACAATTTATTATTTTTTATTTATAACAAGTATTTAAGTAAAGTTCAATAAACAGGTGACAAAGTAATAAGAAAACTTTTTAAATAATTAATTTTCTTCGTATGAATATTTTATTAGTTACTAGAGTGATAAGGTTTTAGTAAAAGTTTAATTTTACGAAAAATTTTACTTTTCAATGCGTAAAAATCTCATACATATTAAAAGTAGAGAAAGGTCTTGTAAAATATTTACAAAATGTACCGAGACTCGTTCGCTTTTATTGGATTAAAAAGATCCGCATGTACGTATCAAAAAAAGAACAATATTTTCAATCCCAAGAATCAACAAATAGCACAATAATTTATTAAATGTAATTTTAAAAGAATATAAATATAGTCAATTCGTAATATATGAAAGTTATAGTGAAGT